ATACATTGTATATAATGATTGGGGTGTTGATGGTATACATTGTATATGATGATTGGAATGATGGTATATATTGTATATAATGATTGGGATGATGGTATACATTGTATATATAATGATTGGGGTGTTGATGGTATACATTGTATATAATGATTGGGATGATGGTATACATTGTGTATAATGATTGGGATGATGGTATACATTGTGTATAATGATTGGGATGATGGTATACATTGTATATAATGATTGGGGTGTTGATGGTATACATTGTATAAATAATGATTGGGGTGTTGATGGTATACATTGTATATAATGATTGGGATGATGGTATACATTGTATATAATGATTGGGGTGTTGATGGTATACATTGTATATAATGATTGGGATGATGGTATACATTGTATATAATGATGATTGGGGTGTTTGATGGTATACATTGTATATAAATGATGATTGGGGTGTTGATGGTATACATTGTATATAATGATTGGGATGATGGTATACATTGTATATAATGATTGGGGGGTGTTGATGGTATACATTGTATATAATGATTGGGATGATGGTATACATTGTATATAATGATTGGGGTGTTGATGGTATACATTGTATATATAATGATTGGGATGATGGTATACATTGTATATAATGATTGGGGTTGTTGATGGTATACATTGTATATAATGATTGGGATGATGGTATACATTGTATATAATGACTGGGATGATGGTATACATTGTATATAATGATGATTGGGGTGTTGATGGGTTATACATTGTATATAATGACTGGGATGATGGTATACATTGTATATAATGACTGGGATGATGGTATACATTGTATATAATGATGATTGGGATGATGGTATACATTGTATATAATGATTGGGGATGATGGTATACATTGTATATAATGATGATTGGGATGATGGTATACATTGTATATAATGATTATTAATGGATGAATGGTATACATTGTATATAATGTATTGTGGTGATGGTATACATTGTATATAATGATTGGGGTGATGGTATACATTGTATATAATGATTGGATGATGGTTTGTAACATTGTATATAATGATTGGGGTGATGGTATACATTGTATATAATGATTGTGGTGATGGTATACATTGTATATAATGATTGGGGTGATGGTATACATTGTATATAATGATTGGGGTGATGGTATACATTGTATATGATGATTGGAATGATGGGTATATATTGTATATAATGATTGGGGTGTTGATGGTATACATTGTATATAATGATTGGGGTGATGGTATACATTGTATATAATGATTGTTGGTGATGGTATACATTGTATATAATGATTGGGATGATGGTATATATTAATGTATATAATGATTGGGGTGTTGATGGTATACATTTGTATATAAATGATGATTGGGATGATGGTATACATTGTATATAATGATTGTGGTGATGGTATACATTGTATATAATGATTGGGATGATGGTATACATTGTATATAATGATTGGGGTGTTGATGGTATACATTGTATATAATGATTGGGATGATGGTATACATTGTATATAATGATTGGGGTGTTGATGGTATACATTGTATATAATGATTGGGTGTTGATGGTATACATTGTATATAATGATGATTTAGGGGTGTTGATGGTATACATTGTATATAATGATTGGGATGATGGTATACATTGTATATAATGATTGGGATGATGGTATACATTGTATATAATGATTGGGGTGTTGATGGTATACATTGTATATAATGATTGGGATGATGGTATACATTGTATATAATGATGATTGGGATTATTATTATTATTATTATTATACAGTATTTATAAAGCGCCAATAGTTCGCTCAGCGCTGTACATTACAAAGGGAGACAGAACATGTGACAGAACAATACCAATACAATGCAAAACATGAGGGGATCGAGGGCCCTGCTCTTTCGAGCTTACAATCTAGGAGGGAGGGGGGTGGTGGCACAGGAGGAGATAGCTGTGGGGGATGGAGTGGTTTGGAAGAGTGGAGGAGGTCGGGCAAGTTAGCAGGGGGTGGGGTAGGCTTCCCTGAAGAGATGGGTTTTCAGGGTGCGCCTAAAGGAGAGGAGAGTAGGTGATAATCTGATGGGTTGGGGCAGGGCATTTGGAGTTCCAGAGGATGGGTGACACCCTGGAGAAGTCCTGGAGGCGGGGCATGGGAGGAGGAGACCAGGGAACTAGAGAGAAGGAGGTCTTGTGAGGGAGCGGAGTGTGCGTGTTGGGCGGGGTACTTGGATATTAGGTCAGAGATGTAGTTCGGGGCAGTATGGTGGACAGCTTTGTACGTCAGCGTTAGGATTTTGAATTGAATTTGATCCGTTGCGCAATCGGAAGCCAGTGGAGGGATTGGCAGAGGGGGGTGGCGGAGACAGAGCGGTTGGAAAGGTGAATTGAGTCTGGCAGCCGTGTTCAGGATGGACTGAAGAGGGGATAGCCAGCGGTGAGGCAGGCCAGTGAGGAGGGAGTTGCAGTAGTCGAGTCGTGATATGATGAGGGAGTGGATGAGCTGTTTAGTGGTTTCTGGGGTTAGGAACGTGCGGATTTTGGCGATGTTGCGGAGGTGGAGTCTGCACGAGTTTGTTAAAGATTGGACTTGGGGCTGGAAGGATAGGTTGGAGTCCAGAATGACACCCAGTACTCTGGCCTGCGGGGCGGGTTTGATGGTAGCGTTGTTGGATGTGATGGAGAAATCAATGGGGGGTGGTGTCCGGGCTGGAGGGAAGACAAGAAACTCGGTTTTTGGAGAGGTTCAATTTAAGGAAGTGGAGCGACATCCAGTCTGATATGTCGCTCAGTAGGTGTGTGATTCGGGCTGAGACCAAGGGGGTGAGGTGGGGGGTTGAGAGATAGATTTGTGTGTCGTCGGCATAGAGGTGGTAGTTGAAGCCGTGAGAGTGTATGAGTTGGCCAAGGGAGGAGGTATAGATGGAGAAGAGAAGGGGGCCCGAGGACAGAGCCTTGAGGGACCCCAACAGAGAGGGGGAGTGAGGGGGAGGTGGTAGCATTATAGGTAACGCTGAAGGAGCGTTGTGACAGGTAGGATGAGAGCCAGGAGAGAGCAGAATCTCTGAGGCCGAGGGCGTGTAGTATTTTGAGGAGGAGGGGGTGGTCAACTGTGTCGAAGGCCGCAGAGAGGTCAAGGAGTAGGAGCACTGAATAGTGGCCATTAGCTTTGGCGGTTAGCAGGTCGTTGGAGAGTTTGAGTAAGGCGGTTTCGGTGGAGTGTAGGGGACGGAAGCCGGACTGTAGGGGATCGAGGAGGTTGTTGTCGTTGAGATGAGAGAGCATAGGCGGGTGTAATGACTAGGCGCTCGAGGAGTTTAGATGTAAATGGGAGCAGGGAGATGGGTCTGAGGTTGTTCGGGTCATTGGGGTCCAGGGATGATGGTATACATTGTATATAATGACTGGGATGATGGTATACATTGTATATAATGATTGGGATGATGGTATACATTGTATATAATGATTGGGATGATGGTATACATTGTATATAATGAGTGGGGATGATGGTATACATTGTATATAATGATTGGGATGATGGTATACATTGTATATAATGATTGGGATGATGGTATACATTGTATATAATGAGTGGGATGATGGTATACATTGTATATAATGATTGGGATGATGGTATACATTGTATATAATGATGATTGGGATGATGGTATACATTGTATATAATGATGTGGGATGATGGTATACATTGTATATAATGATGATTGGGGGGTGGTGATGGTATACATTGTATATAATGATGATTGGGGTGTGATGATGGTATACATTGTATATAATGATGATTGGGGTGTTGATGGTATACATTGTATATAATGATTGGGATGATGGTATACATTGTATATAATGATTGGGGTGTTGATGGTATACATTGTATATAATGATTGGGATGATGGTATACATTGTATATAATGATTGGGGTGTTGATGGTATACATTGTATATAATGATTGGGGTGCTGATGGTATACATTGTATATAATGATTGGGATGATGGTATACATTGTATATAATGATTGGGATGATGGTATACATTGTATATAATGACTGAGATGATGGTATACATTGTATATAATGATTGGGGTGTTGATGGTATACATTGTATATAATGATTGGGGTGCTGATGGTATACATTGTATATAATGATTGGGATGATGGTATACATTGTATATAATGATTGGGATGATGGTATACATTGTATATAATGATTGGGGTGTTGATGGTATACATTGTATATAATGATTGGGGTGTTGATGGTATATTTTGTATATAATGATTGGGGTGATGGTATACATTGTATATAATGATTGGGATGATGGTATACATTGTATATAATGATTGGGATGATGGTATACATTGTATATAATGATTGGGATGATGGTATACATTGTATATAATGATTGGGGTGTTGATGGTATACATTGTATATAATGACTGGGATGATGGTATACATTGTATATAATGATGATTGGGATGATGGTATACATTGTATATAATGATTGGGGTGTTGATGGTATACATTGTATATAATGATGAATATAATATTGATAATGTACAGTATATAATAATAATGTATCTAATAGGAATGAATCAATGATTGGAGCACACACAGGCCATGTGACGCCCAGCAGCGGCTCTGCACCAATCCGGTGTCAGTCCCCGCCCCCTCACCCTCTCTCCTCTTGGCCGGCTCCCTCCGGGCTCTCTTGCCCCGGCTCGATTCTCCGGTCTCCCCGCCGCCTCTCTTGGCCATCCCGGCTCCCCTCCGCCCTCACATGCTTCTGTTGTATAACAAACCCCTCGCAGGAAGTCACGTGGCTCCCAGCTCAATTCTGATTGGCCGAGCCTTCTTCTCTTCACCCAGGCTGTCCGCGAAGATCTCGCGATAGGGAGCGCGGTTACCTTGGAGACCTGCCTCTTCCGCTGCGCGCCTCTTGGCAACATGGCGGACGATGGAGAGCAGGTGAGAGCGGAGCGGGCTGTGTTCCGGGTCCTGTGCCCGCTCTGTAGGGGGGGGATGTTGTCTCTGCTCACAGAGGTCACCCAGTATGTAGGTTCTGTTGCCGACCCTCACCTGAGAGTCGGCTGTTGCCCCTCCCCCGGCCCTGTGTTATTGGTTCCTCTGTGAGGTGCCATTCAGTAGGTGGAGGAATGTTCTGGGCTCCCCCAGCAATATACATGACTGGGCTGCCCCCTGGCCATGTGTTGTCGCCAGGGGCGGACTGATCATTTGGAAACTCAGGCACTGCCCGAGGGCCCGGGGTCAGTAGGGGGCCCCATGAGAAGCCCCTGGTACCTTTTTCATAGGCTTTTTTGAGTTTGGGCAAGGACACAGGGACCCCATGATCCCCTATTGCCCGGGGGCCCCATGAGTTGTCAGTCCGCCCCTGGTTGTCGCTGTCCTCCATTGCGCGTTACGTCACAACTTTCACGATTTCAGGTGGTTTTGGTGTGTTGGCCGCACAATGTCAATGGATACCTACGAAGGCGCCCTACATGGCTCCGAAACGTGGCCTTTGTCCTCTCCTGCAATTGGGGGGCGCTTCACGCCAGAGAAACGTGTCACGGATGTGCTTTTGTGTACACAATTATGGTGCGTTCAGTGCAGAAAAAAATTCAACTTTTTTTTTTGCACTGGAACGGAGGACTGGTTCACGCCACGTGCTGCCCAGTGTGGGGTTCTTTCTGTGTCCAAAACGCATGGATAGAACATTATATGGGTGGAACAGGCTGCGTCTTTCCTGCACAGAACTACTGGAACGCGGTAAAATGCATCAAAAATGCACCAGACCCCCAGAACAAAAAACATCTGGAAACACATAAAAAAATGAACTCCTTAACCACTTCCAGTCTGGACGCTTCCCCCCCCCCCCCTGCCCCCCCTTCCAGTCCGGACGCTTTCCATTGAATGACAATTGCGCGGTCATGCAACACTACCCGTATGAATTTTTTAGCATTTGTTTTGAGACAGATAAAACTTTATTTTGGTGGTATTTTTTCACCGCTGGGATTTTATTTTTTTTGCTATGTAAATGAAAAAGTCTAAATATTTTGAAAAAAAATGTTTCTTATAAAATTTTGCAACTACATATTTCAAAATAAATCTTGGCCAAAATGTATTCAGTTATCTTTTTAGTAAAAAAAAAAATAACCCAAATTTAGTTTATAACCAAATATTATAATTTTTAAACTTTTTTTAAAAATAAATAAATAAAAAAAAAAAAAAAAATATATATAATTTTTTTTTTTTACATACTGTCCCCCTTACAGTACAGTGTCTCCATGGTGACACTGTACTACTTTTGGGGGGTGATAAAGGTGTGTTTTTTTTTTTTTTTTTTTTTTTTTTTTTTTTTACACCGATTGCTTTTACATCCATAAAGGCTGTAAAAGCAATAATTTCTCCTCTCTGGCTGCATTCTTGCATCCATTGAGAAATACTGTGTGAGCTGTGATTGGTCACAGCTTGTCACATGGTACAAGGCTGTTGTGAATAGCCCTGTACCATGTGACCTCTGTGATCATTCACAGATTTCACACGTAGTAAGCAATGATGTCAGAAGTGACCAATCGGCGATCACACGATCGGGACCTCGCACAGAGGTCCCGTACGACTATCGGTGGCGGGCATCGGTAAAAACTTTTTTTTTTTTTTTTTACCTTCACGCAATGAATGCATCAAGGTAAAAAAAAAGTTTAGGCTTTATAATCTCGGATTGGCTGTGCTTGTGTGTTTTTTGTTTTGTTTTTTTGTGTTTGTTTTTTTTTTTTTTTTGTTGTTTTGTTTTTTTTTTTTTCTTTTATGTTGCTGCTTTGAAGAGAATCTAACACCTTCTGTCTGACCTGCAGCAGACCACAAACACTGTGGAGGAGCCCCTGGACCTGATCCGGCTGAGCTTGGATGAACGGATCTATGTGAAGATGAGGAATGACAGAGAACTCCGGGGGCGGTTACACGTGAGTGTCTCCCCGTTATCTCCACATTGTGTAATTACAACCCTGAGATGGACATTAACCGCTCCTTGTCTGAACAGGCTTATGATCAGCACTTAAATATGATCCTGGGGGATGTGGAGGAGACGGTGACCACCATCGAAATCGATGAGGAAACCTACGAGGAGATTTATAAGGTGAATACGAGTCACATGACTGTTTGTAAAATGTTCCCACTAGATGAACGATTGATTGAACGATAAATCTCAGGGCAAGTGAGCGCTTAAAATAGATTATAAAATCAATAAATGAATAAATGAAAATGAGACAATAGCAGCTGAACACCAAAAAAGGTACCGTATAAACCTTCAAAATAATCAGAATACATAAAAAGGGGGGGGGGGGGGGGGGGGGGGGGTGCAGCGCTAACTAAATAAATACACATTTATATAAATCAATGTAAAGGTGCTGTTAAAGTGCAAAAAAGGTGACTATAAATAATGAGTATAGTCCATAACGTGGTCAAAACCCAAGAGAGTCTTCAAAGAACTCCAATGCCTGGATTCGTGGATGAGGTGATAAAGGTATAAAGATTGCGCACTCACCAGATACGCAATCCAAATGCGCATTCAAAACAGATAATCCTAGGGTCCTCATACGGATCTGGTCAGATCTGGTCACAAAAGCCCCTCGCCACTTGATAGTGTTGCCACACATAGAAGAAAAAAGGCCGCTCTGCAGACGTAAAAGGCTCCCACCGGAGCCCAAAGAACAAAAGGAGGCCAAATAGTGTGACCCCTTATTGGCAAGGGGTATTTATTCCCAAAAAAAAAAACACAATACAAGCAGGGGCAGGAAAGATACTGACCATACAAAGATTTAGCAAATGGCCGCCGGGGCCCTCGTGGCGCCGGTCGGCGTGACGTCACACCGCTGTAGCCGCTCCCTGACGCGTTTCGTGCGAAAGCACGTAGTCATAGGGGGGTTAGTCATTGATTGAACGAGTTCTCTGGTCACAGCGTACACTTTGATTGTATACCATCAGCATTGTAATACCAATACAAACAGTTAGACCTGACAATACAGGCTTCCGTAACCACTTGCCCTCCAGAAGATTTTTACCTCCTTCCAGACCAGGCCATTGCACTAATTTAACTGGCAATTGCACAGTCCTGCAACGCTGTACCCCAAATTTATTTTTGTTTTACTTTTTTTTTTTTTTTCACACAAATAGAGCTTTCCTTTGATGGTATTTGATCACCACTTTGGTTTTTTTATTATGTAAATTAAAAAAGGCAACATTTTTTAAAAAAATATATATTTTCTACTTTCTGTTTTAAAACATTAAAGAAATGTTTTTTGTTTTTTTTTAAGAAAGACGGGAAACAGGAAGTAGGACAGGCATCCAGACACAGTCTAGGATTCGGTAATGTGGACTGGAGGGGGGTATGTGGACAGAGCTCCACCCTATCTGAATCGATGGTGGGATTAGGACCATTAACAATTCATAGGCAAGCTAAGAGTCTAGGGCAGGGGTGTCCAAACTTTTTTCAACGAGGGCCAGATTGGATGAAGTGAACATGGTGGAGGGCCGAACATTTTTCAGAACATTCTTTGAACCATTACAATTAAATGCAAATAAATTATTTTATGCCAAGTTAATTGCAAACGACGTACTTTTCATTTCATAACATTAAGATCAACTGACAGCTGAGTTTTCACAATGTATTGAAAATAAATTTTAAAAAAAACTTACCTGCACTAATGTGAAGGGTGAAAAAGGTAGCTGGAGCTGAAGTTTCTGCTCGGCAGCCGGGAGGGGAAGAGAAACACACTTCACGCTGGAAGCCCGGCCCTGACGTCACCGCCCTCTGTCGCTCCCAGCGCGGCGCAGTCACGCATGCGCACTGCTCTCAAGCAGAAGACTGTCTGCCACAGAAGGGAGGGCCGTGCGACAGCCGCATTTACACAGACCAGGGAGAACGTGCCGCAGTCAGGCATGCGCACTGCCCTCTGCTCTCAAGCAGAAGACTGTCTGCCATAGAAGGGAGGGCCGTGCGACAGCCGCATTTACACAGACCAGGGAGAACGTGCCGCAGTCAGGCATGCGCACTGCTCTCAAGCAGAAGACTGTCTGCCATAGAAGGGAGGGCCACATAACACAGAGCAGGGAGGGCTGTTGGAGGGCCGTATTAAACCCGACCCCCGGGCCGTAAATGGCCCGCGGGCCGGACTTTGGACATGCCTGGTCTAGGGGGAGTTGGGGAGGGTTATGGGGTGAGTGGGAGAGGGGAAGGGAGGGGAATGGGTAATTATGTAGGGGTTGGCTCCGTGTCCTTCTGGAAGGATGAGGGTACTCTCACTGGGAAGAACTCTGGAGGAGGAAAAACACTTAAGGGAAATGGAGGAGGTTAACTTTGACCTATAATGTTAAGGGACCATTCTGGAGAAAAGGCATAAGATCCTCAGAGAGAATTTCAACAACAATCCATTGCAATAGTGTTTTTACAGGAAACTCACTTATTACAGGACACCAATGTGAAGTTCTATTCTAGGTATTGCCCAACCTGGGTTTTATGCAGATTCACCAACTAGGTGTTCTAAAGGAGTGGCGATTGGTATACCTAAAAACAAGGTTCAAGTTGGAAGAGAAGCTGGAGGATCCTGAGGAACGGTTTTCTGTTCTTAAGGGGGAAATTACAGGAAATACAGTGTACATTGGCAAATATTTATTGCCCCAATAGAAATCCAGTGGCCTATCTGAAAAGTATGAGAAGACTTCTGGATTTTAAAACATGCAAACGAATTGTGGCAGGAGATTTTAATTTTTTGCATGGACCCCCAGATTGACACTACGTCGCATGTGCAGAGAGAGAGGGAGGTAAATCTCTGAAATCCATACGAAGAATGTGTTATCAATGTCAACTTGTGGATGTCTGGAGAGTTAAACATCCTAGAGACAGGGACTATATGTTCTTCTTTCTGGCACATGCAACGTATTTGAGATTAGATTATATATTGATGGACCATAGACTTTTGGAGTCGCTGGTCAAAGTAAATATAGAAGTTACAACAATAACGGACCATGCACCTGTTACAATACAATAAAGTTATGAGGAAGAAAGCAGAGCAAGTTAAATGTGGAAATCAAATGAGACGGAACAGAGAATAAAAAAAGAAATAGAACAATACTTTGAAAGATATGATACAGAAGGAGTTTCAACGGCCATGGTGTGGGAAACGCATAAGGCATATATTGGGAATTTTGATAGCGAGTGGGGCAAAAAAAAGAAAAGAAAATGAATACGCTTCTAAGGGATCTCCACGAATTAGAACAGTTACATAAAAAGAAAGTAACGAGATTCAGCAGAGTATAATAAATAAGCAAGATGAATTATGTAATTTAATGAAGGAAGAAACGAGGAGAACATTCAACATGATTTCAAGGGAGAGATATCGGTGGAGGAATAAACCAGGGAAATATTTAATAAGAGCACAGAGAAATCAAAGTAAAGATGATAATGGGGAACTGGTTTACTGAACCACTGATATCGCTAATGTATTTAAAAAAAATTACAGTAAACTATATGATGTTATTCCACAACGGTCAAAAGGAGAAGAAGAAAGAATTAGAAAGAGACAAATTTACTTAAAAGAGGCGGGATTGCCGAGAGTAGGGGAAGAACGGGTAATCTGCCTAGAGAAACCGTTAACGCAGGAGGAGATCCAGGTAGCACTGAAGGTACAACAGCAGGGAGGAACCTAGGGCCAGATGGGTATACTGTGAGATGATCTAAAAAATTTAAAGATCAATTCGTACCTAAACTGAGTTTATATATGAATGCATTAGGAGTGGGGCTAGAAATGAGGGAGGAATCCTTGCAAGCTCATATTACAATCATTCAGAAAGAGGGAAAAGATTAAACCCAATGCGCTAGCTGTGGGCCTATCTCATTGTTAAATGTGAATACCAAATTATATGCAAAGGCCCTGGCAATCAGGTTGAAAGACCTAATGTCGGAATGGATTCATATAGCCCAAGTGGGATTTGTTCCCTGGAGGGAGGAAGAGACAATGGGTTGAGATCACCGCTTCTTATACAAAGAAGTAAGAGGAATAATTCACCAAATCCAGGAAATAATTGGGGTTAAGATCCCAGGGTATGCCTATTCCATAAAACCGAGACTACAGTAGAAAAAATATAAGAATTCAATGATATTTCACCTTATAAATGCAGCTAAAGGATTGATGCCCACATTTTGGCAGGCACAAGAGGTACCGAAAATAACACTGGATAAGTAAGATAGTGTGTATGTATGTGGAGGAACTCTACCACATGGAAGAAGACAAAATGAGATTTCGAGAAAGGTGGGAAAAATGGGATGAGTTTAACTAGTTGCCAACCGCAGATAGCCGAATGAGGGCTAAACTGCGGCCGGCCAGTTCTGAGTGGACGTCATATGACGTCCACCCAGAACGCGCTCTGGGGCGCGCACCCGGCGATCTCTGTGATCGCTGTGTCCTACGGACACAGCTGATCACGTGATGTGGTAAAAGACCGATCACAGCGGCCTTTTACCACGTGATCAGCGGTGTCCAATGACACGCTGATCAGAGGGAAATGCAAGTGCCGGTTCTCGGCTGCACTTTCCTCACGCTGTCAGATCGTGAGGAAAGTACTGCCGAGAACCGGCAGTTGTCAGAGCGGGGATCGGCACCGATCATCAGGGCACTGATGATCAGTGCCCTGATGATCGGTGCCCAGCAGTGCCACCCGCAAGTTCCGCCCAGCAGTGCGCCCACTAGCTCCGCCCACCTGTGCCACTCTGCAGTGTCACACACCTGTGCCCAGAAGTGCCACCTACCTGTGCCCACCAGTGCCGCCCACCAGTGCCACCCACCTGTGCCTGCCCACCAGTGCCACCCACCAGTGCAGCCCAGCAGTGCTGCCAGTCAATGCCCAGGGGTTGTGCCAGTCAGTGCCGCCAGTCAGTGCCCAGCAGTGATGCCAGTCAGTGCTGTCTATCAGTACCCATCATCAGTGTCACCTATCAGTGCCGCTTATCAGTGCTGCATATTAGTGCCGCCCTATCCGTGACACCTCATTAGTGCTGTCTATCAGTGCCGCCTATCCGTGCCACCTCATTAGTGCTGTCTATCAGTGCCGCCTATCCGTGACACCTCATTAGTGCTGTCTATCAGTGCCGCCTATCCGTGACACCTCATTAGTGCTGCCTATCAGTGCCCTTTAGTGCTGCCTATCAGTGCCGCCTATCAGTGCCCATCAGTGCTGCCTCATCAACGTACATCAGTGAAGGAGAAAAAATACCTGTTTGAAAAATTTTATAATAGAAACAAAGAAACTTTTTTTTTTTTTTTCAAATTTTTTGCACTTTTTTTATTTATAGCGCAAAAAGTAAAGCGCCCAGCGGCGATTAAATTCCACCAAAAGAAAGCTCTATTTGTGAGAAAAAAATCAAAATTTCATATGGGTACAATGTTGCATGACCGCGCAATTGTCAATCAAAGTGCGGGCAGCGCTGAAAGCTGAAAATTGGCCTGGTAAATAAGGGGGTATAAGTGCCTGGTAGGCGAGGGGTTAAGAGCTCACATAAATATGTTGAAATGGAAGAAGTAGAAAGAGGGGGTGAGAGGACTGTATAATTAAAAAGAGGAAAGCAAGATAGGAAAAAAAAAGGGTATCCTGAGGATACTCAGAAGTGACCATTAACGGGGAGCTAAGGGTAAAGAAATGGGGGGAGGGTGGGACATAGGGAAGGTGGGTTCTCTGGGGGTATGTGTAAAAGAAAATGTAATTTTTAATATCATTTTTTGTTAAAATTTTGAAACCGAATAAAATATTTATGAATAAAAATGAACTAAATAGCATTTTTGGCTTGCAGTGCGGTTTCACTTTAATAAATTTAGGCCGAAAGGTATTATGCTACATATCGGTGGTATAAAAAAAAAAATCCCACTAAGTGTATATTTATTGGTTTGTAAGGTGTTTTTTTTTTTTTTTTAATAGCGTCTACAAACTATGGCGTGTGTATACTGGAATGTATGGAGTTATGATGCTACACTGATCAGCAAGTTATTGTGTGACTGATAGTGTGGCAGGCAATCTGGTGCTAACACACTGGCTGGGAGGGACACTGAATGACACATCACTGGTTACACTAATACAGTGACCAGATATAATACTGTTAATGACACTGGCTGGGAAGGGGTTAACATTAAAGCGGAGTTCCACTCAAAAGTGGAAGCTCTGCTTATTTGCTTCCTCCCCCACCTCCACTGCCATATTTGGCACCTCTTGGGGGGGGAGGAATGGATACCTGTTTTTGACATTTGTCCGCTCCCACTTCTGGCTCGGTTCGCCAGGGTGAAGCAAGCCGGAAGTTTGGCCCCCTTTTTACCTCCCACAGACTCCTGGGAACTTTCATAGGTCCCAGAAGACTGCCGGACCAATAAGGAAGCACGAACCTACTCACGGGGCATAGTGACTACGGGTCCCAGAAATAAATGTGAGGTCTTCACAAAGTAAGTGTGCAAACTTCAAGATCATTCCGATGATAGAGTAGGCTAGAAATAATTGGAATTTAATGTGGAAATAAATTACGATTTTAACATTTTGGCCATAAATACGCTTGAATGACGAATGACAAAACCTTCTCTCTTCTAGTCTACGAAGAGGAACATCCCCATGCTCTTTGTCCGCGGTGATGGCGTGGTGCTCGTAGCTCCTCCATTGAGAGTTGGATGATGAGTTTCAGCAAAGCGTCTCTATCAAGCCAGGATCCCTCAAACCTCCTCTGTTTCTTCTCATCGAATCCCAGACACACCGGGATATTATTCTTGCTCATAGCAGCAGGAGAGCTTATTAATACAGAGCCTAATCCGTATACATCTCCTGCTGATGGGGAAACTATAAGTCTCAGCATGCCTTCCTAGCTAGGGATGAATAGGGCCAGCCTTGCTCGTTTCCCATCAGCTGGAGGGCTGCAGGTTGTCTATAGGTGCTGCAGCTGCGTTGCAGAGAGGCACCTCTATTCTTTAAATTCGGCTAAATAATTTTTTTATTTTTGGCAGATGCCGCAGTTTGTTTTTGTAATGAATTCAATGTTGGGAAGGTCAGCCCAAAAATTACATTTTTTTATATCTGATGGAAGCAGCAGAAGGATTGTACAGGTTTTACTGTATGTTTGGTTTAGAATGGAACTTTTCAAATCATTGATGCTTGTTTTGGACATGTATATCAATTAAATGTTTTTCTTTTTTTTAGAGATGACTAAAATTGTGTTTTTGTGGGTTGTTTTTTTTGTGTTTTTGGTTTTTTTGTGTTTGGTTTTTTTGTGTTTGGTTTTTTTGTGTTTGGTTTTTTTTGTTTTGTTTTTTTTTGTGTTTGTTTTTTTTTTGTTTGTTTTTTTTTTGTTTGTTTTTTTTTTGTTCGTTTTTTTTTTTGTGTTCGTTTTTTTTTTTTTTTTTTAACAAACATTGCAGTGTAACTCATACAGGCTTGTAGAAATTTTTATGATTTCACGAAATGTCCGTAAAGGTCTCAAGTCCTTTCCTTTGTCCAACATTACATCTGTGTTAATTCGCTGTAATCCCCCCTCTTGAGTGTGAAGATACCACCAGAGACAGGGTGGACTGACATTTTACCTCTGGGGTAGATCTTTGGCATAGTGGGGTGTGAACAGGTGGGTGCCACTTTAACTGCTTCAGTACGGGGCACTTTCACGCCCCCCCCCCCCCCCCCCCCCCTTCCTACCCAGCCTAATTTTCAGCTTTCAGCGCTGTCACATTTTGAATTACAGTTGCGCGGTTATGCAACACTGTACCCATATTATATTTTTTTTCACTCAAATAGCTTTATTTTGCTGGTGTTTAACCACTTGCCTACCGGGCACTTATACCCCCTTCCTTTATAATAATGTGTACTTGTGAGCTACTATGGTGGTCTAAAAATACTAGTAAATAATTAACTCCTGAAAATGTGATGGTGCATCAACACAAAAACACATACTCATAATACTGTGTAAAAATAGACAAATAAAATATTAAATGTGTTGCGCTCCTCAAAAGTATTTAGTAATATATAATATGAATAAATAAAATAAATAAATAAATCTAAATAAATATTAATCCATAGTGGTATAATTTAAAATTAAAACACTCCTTGTGCTGTAATTAATTATAATGCAATTCTACTAAGTTTATAAACTTAGTAGAATTGCATTATAATTAATTACAGCACAAGGAGTGTTTTTAATTTTAAATTATACCACTATGGATTAATATTTATTTAGATTTATTTTATTTATTCATATTATATATTACTAAATACTTTTGAGGAGCGCAACACATTTAATATTTTATATACCCCCTTATTTACCAGGCCAATTTTCAGCTTTCAGCGCTGCCGCACTTTGACAATTGCGCGGTCATGCAGCATTGTACCCATATGAAATTTTGATCATTTTTTTCCTCACAAATAGAGCTTTCTTTTGGTGGTATTTACTCCCCGCTGGGCGCTTCACTTTTTGCGCTATAAATAAAAAAGTGCAAAAAATTTGAAAAAAAAAAAAGTTTCTTTGTTTCTATTATAAAATTTTTCAAACAGGCATTTTTTCTCCTTCACTGATGTGCGTTGATGAGGCGGCACTGATGGGCACTGATAGGCGGCACTGATGGGCACTGATAGGCGGCACTGATGGGCACTGATAGGCGGCACTGATGGGCACTGATAGGCGGCACTGATGGGCACTGATAGGCGGCACTGATGGGCACTGATAGGCGGCACTGATGGGCACTGATAGGCGGCACTGATAGGCGGCACTGATGGGCACTGATAGGCGGCACTGATAGGCGGCACTGATGGGCACTGATAGGCGGCACTGATAGGCAGCACTAAAGGGCACTGATAGGCAGTACTAATGAGGTGTCACGGATAGGCGGCACTAATATGCAGCACTGATAGGCGGCACTGATAGGTGACACTGATGATGGGTACTGATAGACGGCACTGACTGGCATCACTGCTGGGCACTGACTGGCACAACCCCTGGGCACTGCTGGGCTGCACTGGTGGGTGGCACTGCTGGGCTGCACTGGTGGGTGGCACTGCTGGGCTGCACTGGTGGGTGGGCATAGGTGGGTGGCACTGGTGGGCACAGGTGGGTGGGCACATGTAGGTGGCACTTCTGGGCACAGGTAGGTGGCACTGCAGAGTGGCACAGGTAGGTGGCACTGCTGGGCACAGGTGGGGGCACTGCTGGGCACTGGTGGGCGGAGCTAGTGGGCGCACTGCTGGGCGGAACTTGCGGGTGGCACTGCTGGGCACCGATCATCAGGGCACCGATCATCAGTGCCCTGATGATCGGTGCCAATCCCCGCTCTGACAACTGCCGGTTCTTGGCAGTACTTTCCTCACGATCTGACAGTGTGAAGAAAGTGCAGCCGAGAACCGGCACTTGCATTTCCCTCTGATCAGCATGTCATTGGACACCGCTGATCATGTGGTAAAAGGCCGCTGTGATTGGCCTTTTACCACATCACGTGATCGCTGTGTCCGTAGGACACAGCGATCACGGAGATCGCCGGGTGCGTGCCCCCTGGGGCGCGCAGGAGAGCGCGTTCTGGGAGGACGTCATATGACGTCCACCCAGAACTGGCAGGGCGCGGTGAAGCCGTCATTCGGCTATGCGCGGTCGGCAAGAGGTTAATCACCACTTGTTTTTTGTTTGCTAAATAAACAAAAAAAAAGAAACTTGTTAGAAAACTAATGCAGCCATCATCTAAGAATTGGGAAGCTGCAATAGAAAACATTTTGCCATTGGGTTTCATACTACTTGACGTCTTTCCTCCTTATGCTGCAATCATCGTTTAAATATTTGTATATTATGATCTCTTCTTGAGAGTTTAATCACTTGACCTCCGGAAGATTTACCCCCTTCATGACCAGCCTGTTTATTGCAAGACGGTGCTGCGTTACTTTGACAATTGCGCGGTCATGCAATGCTGGAAGGTCGCTTTATTCTAATACGGTCTTCAAAGAAAATCAGCAATGCTTTTCCAATTCAATATAGTTTTCAAATTCGATTCAAAATTGGATAATTCGCTGTTTCGAATTCATTTAAATTTGTTACTGTTGTAATTCAGGTACATTGAATTTCCAAATATCAAGAATTTCAGAATTTTGATTCTGAACGAAACAAATCGCACTGCACATGTCTAGATGTTTTGTAATGTCTCCAAGCTACTTCTTCATTTCTAATGCATGTCAGGAAGATTCCCCAACATTTATATCTACAGAGGGAACACTGACCCCTTAATTCAATCACCTGGGAACCAAGGCAGATGTTGGTTGTCAACAAGGTGGAAGTGTGATTTGACAAGGATTCACTTTATCTGCATATCAAAACATTAACATCCAAGTAGACTGCTACCAAGACTGGAATTATGTGACCAGAACCGGATTTTCCCAACTTTCACACCTCCCATCCTGTTGTAGGACAGTCACCATCTCCCTTGATTTTCACAAACATCTTAACCGTTTCAATACCGGGCAATTTTCCCCCTTCCTGCCCAGGCCATTTTTCAGGTTTCAGCGCTCTCACACTTTGAATGACAATTGCGCGGTCATACAACACTGTACCCAAACTAAAATTTTATCATTTTCTTCACACAACTAGAGCTTTCTTTTGGTGGTATTTAATCACCGCTGGGGTTTTTATTTTTTGCTAAATTAACAAAAAAAGACCAAAAATTTTGAAAAAAAACCCACATTTTTCTTTGTTTCTGTTTATAAAAGTTTACAAATAAATAATTGTTCTTCATAAATTTAGGCCGAGATGTATTCTGCTCCATGTCTTTGGTGAAAATAACCCAAATTAGGATGTATTATTTAGTTTGTAGGAAAGTTATAGAGTTCACAAACTATGGTATAGATCTAAATATTGATCAATCCTGAAGTACTGACGGCCAATCTAATTTCTTGAGGTCCAAGAATGTCAGGACAGTACAGATATCCCCCAAATGTCAGGACAGTACAGATATCCCCCAAATGTCAGGACAGTACAGATATCCCCCAAATGTCAGGACAGTACAGATATCCCCAAATGACCCCTTTTTGCAGAGTAGACAGTCCGACGTACTTCATAAGAGGCATGGCGAGTTTTTTGAAGTTGTATTTTTATGTCATAATTTTTCGGAAAATGAAAAAATTAAAATTATTTTCACTAATTTTTTTTTTTTTTACATACTGTCACCAGTGCAGTACAGCGTCATCATATAACTGGCATGGCGGTGAACAGGGACACTGACTGGTGACAGTATGAAAAAAAAATATATATATTTTTTTTTATTTTTTATTATTTAATTTTTTTATTACTTTTTTTTTTTTAATTTTTTTAAGATTTTTTTTCATATTTTACTATGACCAAAGTAGTACAATGTTACCATAGTAACACTGTACTACTTTGGGGAAGTGATCAGTATTTTTTTTTTTTTACACAATTTGCTTATAGCAAAGAATTACTTTGCTATAAGCAAGCATTTACCTGAATGACATCGATTCATTCAGCTTTTTTTTTTTTTTGTGCTTAGCTGTGATTTGGTCACAGCTAATCACATGACATGTGCATGTGATTAGCTGTGACCATTCACAGCTAGGCACTAGTATACAATGGATGGCATCATGAATGAAGCCATCCATTGTATACAACTGTCATGTGACCTGCTGTGATTGGTCACAGCAGGTCA